CCCGGCCCCGCCGAGCCGGCCCCCGCCCGCGGCCCGCCGCTGAGCCCCGGCGCCAGTAGGATCTTACAGGAGTTTCCCTCATGGGCTTGTGCTGCTCCTAAAGGCATTTTCGGTGGCACGTCCCAAAGTCTTTAGATTTTTGATCCCTAAGAGCAGTGATGGTGGTTTGGAACATGAGTTATGTCCCGCTCCTTGAGCAGGTGGTGGTGTGCCGTCTCTGAAACTTTCCAGCCAGGTCCCCTCGTAATAGCATGTGTGAAGGCGCTGTTTGCTTAGCCTCTCGTGCTTTAGCTGACATGTAACCAGGTCTACAGTCTGCCTGAGGTTCTGTGTAGATCACTTCGTATAGCTCTGCTGATACCCTGATACGGTGCATCGCCTTAGCTGTTTTCAGGATGCATTGCCTTTTCATCTTTTCTAATGTAATCTCGTCTGGGATTTAGGTGTCCTGTAACGCTCAGTTAGGTGTTGCTGTCATTTAACACGCAATTGATATGTTCATCTATAACTGTGATGAAAAGGTCTTTGTTAATGAAGCAGTTACTGCACAAAAGATAAGAAATCGTCAATACGGAAGGGTCAGACTACTGTAAAGCAGAATGAGAGAAAACGCAAGGGTTGAAATAATAAGTGAATGCTGTACAGGAATACAAAATGCAGCACAGATCTTGGCAACACTAGTTTAACCTATAATACTTTGAAGTGTGGTCTTAGGCTTTCCCCTGGATATTTACTTTAGTGGACATAGCAGGTGTGTTTATCAGACTTCACTGACACATGCTGAAGTGGCTGTAGGATTTTCTTGGGTATTACTGCTGAAGTGCTGTCTTGAGTTCAGTACTTAAAGTTGGGGGAGCAGGGCAATGACTCTTTATGGGAGATAATGCCTCTGAAGTAACTATCACTAGGGAGCACCAGGGGAGGGAGTAAGTGGCTCACTGACTCGGATGGTTCTGAGGTAAGTTAACAAATTTTATTTTTGTTCAGTAGGCAGGCAATGAAGCTAGTAGTTTTTTGAAGTGTGTTTCAGAACTGACCCAGCTAGCACTGCCAAGGTTGCAGTAGGGTCATTTCCTCTGCTCTAACTGGAAATGACAAGTAAGACTCCATATTGTTTTACTGGAAGTTGCAAATAACACACAGACTATTGTATACTAAGACTAATCTTAGGCCCAGAGGAAAAATTCTCTCAGATCTTGGTACTTTTGTAACTCTTGCACAATGAGTGATAAAACATCCAAAGACATGTACAAAACGTCTTATTAGCATCTCTTCAACATCAGCTGCAAAACTGCCTGCTGAATGCTACATGCCAACCTGGAGATTGTTCTCATGCTGTGACACAGTGACTTGCTGTGAAGATTCAGTGTCTCGGGAGTACTTGAAAACAGTACTTTGAGTGATGCTCTCCCAGAAAACTACGTGAGTTGTAGTTCAGAGGTAACTGTGCTGCAGTGTTTTAGAGTCAATGTTAACTTTATATTCAGTTCTATTTGCATTACATGGATTTCTAATGGGGCAGGTAGGTGCTGCTGTTTGTGGTTGGAAGAAATGATAAACCAGCTGTACCTACTATATGTCCTGATCAGGCTGCTGTGGAAAAAGTGAAGACCCTCTGAGCTGTGACTTGACTCTTGAGGTTTAACTGAGTTCCGCACGAAGCATAAAATGTGTTTCTCCATTTAAGTTCAAATCATGGATTATCGGGCCTCCACAGTAAAATGTCAAGCTCTGGAAAAAGGCCTCTCTTGTAATAGAATTTCTGGCACCTCTCTTGGGAAATCTGATCTAAGAAATTAGTATCTCAGAATATAGTATCACAGTTAGATGAAAAAGGTAGTGGGAGGGAGAAAAGGTGAAGGAACTTGAGTGTACCAGGGAGAACTTTTAATATAATTTAGATCTGAGCTATATTACCCTTTGCTATTTTTGCTCTTCTAGGAGAGACCAAGTTTCTATGGAAGTTTACCCTTACGCTGTTTCACACAGAACTGATAAGTGTCCTCAGTAAAAAATAAAGAGGGAAGAATTTTTTTTTTCTTCATGTCTATGGAGCCATTAGAATAAGTATCACCTAGCTGTTTGCACTCTGAGAATAGGAGGTAGAACATTTTGTCTGTTGGTTTTATGGACCAAATTAAAGTAATTTGGTCAAAGAACAAAGCTTTCAGAAGCCTCTACAAAAAGTGTGTGCTGCTTGTTTGCTGTTCAGGCTTCTTAATCTCCCTGAAAAACACCCTCCAAGTGGAAAATGCTCATTGTACAGATTCTCCTACCTCAACCTGTTTTACACCAAGACTGACTACTTCATTTGCCTACATCTAAATAAAGTTGGCGTGAGCCTATGTCACAAGTGTTCTGGTTTGGGATTAATTGTGCTCTGTCCAGTCACTTGTTAGTTTCCTCTTGGTTTTGATGCTGGACGTTTCTAGCATAGGAAGATTGATAAATGGCTTTGATCATTCAGTATGAATGACTTTTGGTTATTTATGTGAACAATTAGTTCTAGTTGTGAATTTTCACAGCGAGAAGATCTTTGGGCTCTGTTGGATTTGAAGAATTAACAATACTTGGGGATTCATGAGTTTCTTGACCTAGTTAATAAATTTTTGGGGGGAGAGGGAAGAGATGGTGGCCATCCTGCGATCCAGTTTTAATGTGGTTTCTTGAAAGTACCTGAAGTGTTTCAGACCCAGAGCCTAAAGTCTGTAGGTAGTTGGTGCACTGTCATGTTTAATTTGAAACTGCTGTCTGGACAGTATCACTGAGAGTGTTGTGAAAAAATTTTCAGTACTATCAACTATCCTGAGACTAGAAAGGATGTCAAAGCTACTCAGACTGAGGCAGTTGCATGGTTTTGGAAATATGCAAGCTGTTGCATGCACAAGTGTCCAGCAGTTGAAATAGTAAACTCTGCCTTTTTTTTTTTTTTTTTTTTTTTTTGGAAGGAGGATGGAGGCAAAGGGAAGGGAATCCCCATTCCTATGTCAAAAAACAACAAAAAACCAAAACAATTAACTTATAGTTGACGTTCTCCTTTCTTATGATAGTTAGAGAATTGGTGGCTTTGTGTTTTCTCTTATATTTCTCAACTTCATGTGAGAATCCTATCCAACTAGTATTTCATCAGAGCATTTACCCCTTAGTGCTACTCTGTGGAGGTGGGGGCAATAACTGTGAGTGCTTTCAATTTGCCCTCACCCTTCCTAGCATACAATGGAGAGGGCCTTGGCTTAAAGGCAGTGACTTGACTCTTCAGTTGCTCTACCTTTTTGAGGCACTAATTTTTTCAATTATTTGGTTTTGTATTTGACTGTTTCTCTTAGGAGAACATTTTGTTTCCTGCTCAGTTTGTAACTGGCTAGAATGTTCCAAAGTCAGCAGTCTAGAGCCCTGGGTGAGGAGTTGGGGTCGTGCTTTAAGTCACTACCACTGCTCTTAGGGACAAAAAACCTTTAGAACTTGGAGTCCTGCCTGTCCCATGCTGGAGAGCACAAGAACCTTGATGAGAATCCTACCAGAATGCAATTCTGCTTCTTGGAAATTAAGGTAAATATTTCCCTCCTCTGTCTACTGTCACTTGGTTGTTTTGGTTTTTTTAGTTTTTTTCCTCTATAGTTTGCACCTCAGTCCTGTCAGCTTTGTTTAAGAAAAAAAATACACCTTATTTCATAATGTTTATGTACATGTGAAGATAATGTTTGTCTTACTCTTTTCCTGTGACACAGATGCAATGGATCAGCTTGAGCAGAGGGTAAATGAATTTTTTATGAACGCAAAGAAAAACAAACCTGAATGGAGGGAAGAACAAATGACATCAATCAAAAAAGTAAGGATATCACTGGAGTGGGTCACATTTTTCTTTAGCAAACAAAGATAACATTAGGAAAAAATAGCTTATGATTGATGGAGACTTAAGCATGCAGAACTGTGACTTCCCTTGGGCTTTCACAGAGGTGGATAGAACTACCTAGAAGGAGAAAAATGACTGAAAGGTTTATTTGATCAAGTATTTCTCTCAAGTTGTATTCAGTATCTGCTAGTATTTTAAAAATTGTGACCCTGAAATTATGAGGAAACCAGGTACTAAATTTTCAGCTCAGATCTTTTTTTTTCTGCTTGCGTGACATGAAGTTGTGCAAGTTCATTGTCTTTCTTTGAGAGGATATTTTTCAGGAGGATATTTTTCAGGCTTAGCTTCAGCATTTTCTATGATTCTGTCTGTGTTCCTGTACATTATACATATGGTATACGTAGCTTTAGGAAGGGAGGAATAAGAAGATGGATGTGTTCCATTTTATCCTTCAACACTTGGGCATTGGTGGTAGTATTGTTAGCAAGGTAGTCCATCATTTTGTCAGGAGAAACTCCTTTGTAGTCTCCTACACTTGCTACTTCAGCCCTCTATTTGGCCAAGGTATCTTTTTTTCTTAATACAAATAGATTCCTGTATTTAAAAAAAGAAAAAGTCAGCACTCTGACTTCACTGGAGTAAATGAAAAAATTGGTTTTGACTTTAGTTGAACCAAAATTTCGAGTAGTTTTCGCCTAAAGAAGATACTCTTCAGTGGAAATAGAGAATAAATAAGCACTTAAACCTGTTTAAATCTGGAGTAAAAATGTGTAAACGTACTTTTTTCAAAAAAAAAGTTTTGTCTGTGGATTTTCCTTAGAGCAGACTTTAAAATTGGCTTGCTTTATTCAAATTATAACACTTAGGAGTTATATAAATGTATTTTAAAATAATTTAAACTATGAACTAATAGACATCCTATCTCTGTAACTACTGTGCTGGAAAGGCTTCCTCTCGCAGCACTGTTTGGCATAATTTTGAAGGGCAGTAGTATCTGCAGTGGTCATAAAGATCCATACGAAGTGAAAGACATCATCTCATTTTGAGTCTGTAACTATGCTGTGTAATACAAAATAAATCCACGACTATTTTATTTCCTGGTAACATTTTTTGCAGAAATCTAAATACCACTTTAGGAGAAAGGGTCCACATCTTGTAGTTTGGCTTTTTCTAAGGCACAATTGATACGTATTGTATCTCTCATCTAAACTTTAGCTGATTGTTGTTTACAGTAGAGTTTCATAGTCTTTCTGAAGACTGACTTGAATTTCTCCTTTTAACTTATATTTTGTGCTGGATAACAGTAGCTTGAAATGACTGAAATTAATTGACGTTCATAATCTTTTAAAAATCTCTTTATAACAGGATTATTATAAGGCTTTGGAAGATGCAGATGAAAAAGTGCAACTGGCTAATCAAATATATGATTTGGTAAGTGCACAAAGGGCTTGTGTTGAATTACCTAAATTTATGCCCTAAGGAGTTCTAAACATTTTGATAAGCTCTACAGCTGTGCTACCTATACTGTTATGTTAGCTTCATACAGATATTTTTGCTGGCTAATAAACATTTGGAATTTTATTGACTTCTAAGAATTTTGTTGGTTTGGGTAGCAGGCGTCACAAATACAAAACATACAGAAATAAGGTCTTCATGCATGTTGATTTTGTCTGGGTTTTTTTTTTTTCCGAAAAGAGGCCACAAGCAAGTTACTCTTCCTTATAGCATATGAATTTTGAATTTTAAGTATATTTATTTTAAATTTTCTCAGAGAACAGAACCTGCAAGACAGACTGCACTAAGATATAGTAGACATAAACCAAATATTTTTTGTCTGGTTTTCTTTCACTTCAGCTAATCAAAAGTTGGAACTTACCCCTCTCTTTTCGTTAGCTGGTAACTGCAAAAACCTGTTCAATTTTTAATAGTTTAGAGACAGGTACATTCTGCTGTGTGACCACAGATGAAGAAGCATTTGGAACATAGTGTTTCTTTCTGTGATATTGAGATTTTGGTTAATTTTCAGTACCCAAGAGCATGTCATAGTTTACTCAAATGCACAGGAGTCTTTACACTTTCAGTTTAGAGATCCTTTTACTCAGTACTTAGGGTTTACTGATGTGTGTGTACATCAGTACAAATTGCAGTTTGGTAAACTTAAAATTTCCCCAATGCTGGCCAACCTCTTCTAATATATGCATGTCATATACTGTTCTTTCTCTTCCCTTTTCTGTAGGCGTACCCACAACATCCCCCAAGTCTTCTTAATCTTTTTTCACAAAATAATCACTTAACGCTGTGTCTTGAAACACTGCTACAGTAAGAAGAGGGCTTCTAGCTGCTGAGCCAATATGCAGCCTTATTGTATCCTGTAGTTGACTGCGCAGCTTAGGAGCAACAGCACTATATTGGGGGTTGACTCTAGTATCTCTGCTGAGCGTAGGGAAATGAAGGTGACCAAGAAATTACGCTTTTGTGTGTTTGTTTGTGCTTACTGCTGCATGGAAGAGAATTGCTGGAAGGGAAGTACTTATCAAGTCTGAGTTTAAGGATGTAGATACTCATGTTCCAGAACTGGATGCTATTTATTGTTGCTTTGTCTCAAAAATAGGTAGACCGTCATTTGAGAAAATTGGACCAAGAACTCGCTAAATTTAAAATGGATTTTTTTTTTTTTTTTTTTTTTTTTTAAGAACTTGACAGATTTTCTGTAATTTTGCAAAATTAAAATATCATACACTTGTTTGGGGCCAGCAGTATTTGTATTTTAACCAGCATACTTTTCATCAGTCAGTGATTCTCAAATTGTAGTTTCAACATCAATTTTTACTAGTGAAGTCAAAATACAACTGACTAATTAGAGTAACTTTTTTCACACAACTGTTGCACTTGTGAATTGTTATGGTAAGGTACAGAATTCTCTATACCTCTTTTTAGTGACTGTAGATATTCAGGCATGTACTTGAGCTTAAGCTTGCTACCTGCCCAGTTGGAAGTGTACCATTTCTTACTTGAATTGATTGCCACCAAGTTGAGGAAGGTCATTATTTTAGTTACAGGTGTGAAATGTCAAGTAAAGTTAGGTACTCAGTAGTTTTCTTTTTTTAAAGGTGAGAGAATGGATTGTTTTGTAATGCAGTAGCGAGGGAGAAGCATTTTGGGTAAGAAACCTTCATGCTTAACAAACATAGCAATGCTGGTATCCAGAAAATGGACAAAAACATAACGTCACAGCTTTTTTACCAATTTGTTGTAGAAGAATCTGGCCTTTCTGTGTGAATCTACATTTAGACATCAAGTTCAAATGCAATTATGATAAATTTCTAAGTTGATTTAACTACTGTGGTTACAGTGCTAAGAGGCAGTGACTCTTCTCATACCCACAGATAGTGGAAAGTAACCTAAATCACTTGAGGAGATTAGGAATAAATATTCTTCCTTTGAACTTTGTGGGGATTTATCATAAAAGCTGGGAGGTTTTGGATGTTTTACTTGTAATTGCTATTGCAAATAACAGGCACAAAAAAAACCCTGCAGAGTAAGTGCTTTTAATAAACTAGCAACTACAGAGAAGGACTAGTTTCTTTTAGATGGAATCCCAGCTGCAGTTTCTAAGATGCAAAGCTACCTTCAGTTGAGCTTTGTGTTTGGTGAGGTAGGTAGGTAGGTAGAATTTCAGGAACTCAAAATAGAAACGCGCCAGACTGCATGTTGCATCTTTCCGGTTGGTGTGTGTTGGTGTTTCTGTTTAATAAAGTGAATAGTAGGAGCCTCTTTAACATTTTAGCATTTTAACATTTAGCTTTAAGAGTAAATACATATTGTTGAGGTTCCGCCAGAGGGCAGCACTTGGGCTAGTTCATAACATGATTAATGTTAGCTCAGCCAAAAAACCTCCTTATGCTTTGAATCTCTTCTAGCGTAATTTTCTTTGAAATGTTGTAATACACTCTCATGTATTTTTTGAAAGCACTGAAAAAGAGGTAAAGAAATGTTGAAGCCACAGATTTTGAAAAATGAATGTGAATTACTTTCTTGAATTGTCTTCTGTATAAATGTAAGTTGGTAACTATTGCAGCTAGTTCAAAGTCCTTTTGCCAAAGATTGATACACGAATTGTTCCATACTGTGCTAAAGGAAATTTATGGTGAAAATCTCTCCTGTACTGTGATTGTTTAGCCTCATGGCTGATATTATAAGAAATGTTTTCTTAGACATATATTTGCATTTGGATTGTTGCTCTGTGTATTTTCAATGCTAAGAAATTTTGATACTGATCTGAAGCCCTTCCTGTTGAATGTTAGTTCATCTTGAAAGAAGTTGCTAGTGCTTGGGTGTTTTGACTCGGTGTGACAAGATGCCTCAATACAGTTTGCCTGTTACCATCTTCTTTTCAATTCATATTGGTGCAGATTGTCAGTACTTTTGCTGAAGCATTCTGTAACTGTCACCAGCTTGTCTGCAACTCATTTGTGTAAGTGGCACGTTGAGGGCAACGTTGCTGTTTGTTCTCCTTATTGGCCTTGGATTTTAACTTCTTGATTTCAACAGTTGAACAGCAGCAGTCACTAATTTTTATTTTAAAACTGTTCTTTCTCACTGGCTTCTGGTTGTACTATGGGAAGGGTTTCAACTCTAGCATAAATCCTTATGATTATAGTTGCTTAGCAGTTTGGTTAATATTATAAAGATTCATTTAGTATATAAAAGTCAAAACCATGCCAGTGATGTCTCTGAAATTTTCCTATCCTTTTTACCTCCCTCTCAGGGTCTCTGGAGCTGGACACACCATCACAGCCTGTGAATAACCATCATGCCCATTCGCACACTCCAGTAGAGAGTAAGTATTTGAGTCTTAAAAATATGTCCACTTTTAACGGCTCCTTATTTTTTTGCTGAGTAGTATTAGGGAAAAAAATGTTCAGAACTTTTTTCTTTTTCTCCAAACATTGTGGAGGAAAAATAAAAAAGGCACAATGCAATGATAATAATGTGTATTCAGAAGAAGTGTAAGAATGAAATAATAAGGTTTTGCTGGTGGGGATTAATTGAAAGTGCTGTTTCATTATGTCTAGTTATAGTTTGACTTTCAAGCTGAAAGGTTTTACATTTAAGTTCCCTTCGTTTCATTTAGAAAGGAAACACAATCCATCTTCTCACCATAGTACAACAGATCATGTTCCTGAAAAGAAGTTTAAATCTGAAGCTCTTCTATCTACCCTGACTTCAGATGCTTCTAAAGAAAATACACCAGGTAATCTTAATTGTCTTGCATTTTGCTGCTTTTTGATTGGAAGAAGAGAGACCCAATTATATTTGTGAGTTTACTGCCTTTTGAAATCAGAGGCTCATACCCATTCCTCTGGGATTTTCAGTCATTTGAAACATGAGAAATTGCAGGCATTGTTACTCATCTGTGTTGTCCATGAAGCGCATCAGCTTTGTTGTCATTTAACAGCTGTATGTTGGCTGTTTCTCTTTATTTACACTGCTTGGAAGACGATAACAGTAGTTTCATTCAGCCAGTCATAGAAATATAAGAGATCAATGCATTAATATTTTGGGAAAAAGAAACACATGCAACAATTTCGAAAATAAGGGAAAAGAATTTTCACTCTTTCTTTTTTTAAGAATTGGTTTGACATGGCATTCAGCTATAACAAAACGTAATTTTGTGTGTTGTCCATTTCAAGAGGTGAGAAGTTTTTCTGAGTAGTGAATAAAAAAATACCCCACAACTTTCTGACCATTTTCAAAATTAGGGTTCTTCATAGTTTCTTTCCTGAAAATAGAAGACTGTGAGATGTCTTAGTAAGTAAACCACCTTACATTTTGGAATTTAGTGCTGTTCATCAGGTTTAAGTAGTGCCCCTCATATCCATTTTACTTTTCTTTTGAAGGAACTTCACATGAGATGGCAAATAAAATGTAGCTGTGTTTGAACAGCTGTCAGTCTGTAGATGGCTGTAGAAATATGCATTGCCTTAAAACTGTGATTTGTAGTTTTTAGAATTAAGACTGTTAAAAGTTTCACTTGAGAAACAGTATAGGTGTACAGTCAGATTCTTATCCTTTTCTTGATGGCTACAGTAGTTGGCATTATTTCCATGGAGATTGGTTTTATATAGGCACAGCAGCTCTGTCTGTTCTTTGATAGCTGAATATGATAGTGTGGACTATCTTTCCAATAGGTCTACTTGCACATGAGGATAGTTGGGGAATAAACTTTTTTTTTTCTTTAAGCCAATACTGGCTGTGTCAAATGACTTTTTAAACTTTTTTCCAAATGATCAGATTGGTCAGATGCATAAGCGGAGTTCCTACTCTTTCACTGGTTGTCATATATAACTCTTCTTAAAATGCAAAGGAATTTAGTTTCATTTTGAATTTCATAAATGTGTTCTGTTCATCAAGGGTGTCGAAACAGTAATTCATCATCCTCTTCAAACAATGCATACAATACAAACTCTTCTCAACCATTGGCATCATATAACCTGGGCTCATTATCTTCAGGATCTGGGGCCGGTGCAATTACCATGGCAGCAGCTCAAGCAGTGCAAGCCACGGCGCAGGTAACGTCAGAACATTCTTGTCATTCTGCCATCTGCTATTGATTAAGAAGAAAGACTAGTTAGTTGTTTGGGGTTTTTTTTAATCTGAATTTCCATGATCACTTTCAGCTGACCTGATTCAGTTCTCATCAGTTTTGTTTATATGCTACAGTTTCATCCTGTAAAACTTGCACAAAGGGACAGCTTGTTTTCTAGCTTTTCCTGTGGGATATTCTTAACGCCTTTTTGCCACTTAGTGTACATCATTTTGTTAACAGGGTAACTAATGAACCTATGCAAATAATTAGCAGTTAGCAGCCTGGTATATGTCTTCTGTAAGAGCTCTACCGTGTAATCTGATACAGTATCAGTATTCCTTTTAGATGAAGGAAGGAAGACGAACATCCAGTCTAAAAGCCAGCTATGAAGCATTTAAGAACAATGATTTTCAGCTTGGAAGAGAATTTTCATTATCCAGAGATTCAACTGGATATTCATCATCAGCTCTGGCATCTACATTAACACAGACATTAAGTTCATCAACCACAGATTCACGAAGTGGCAGAAAAAGCAAGTAGGTTTTCTTACTTGACTGCAATTACAGCTTTTAAGACAGCTAAGCTTTCTTTTAAAGGTCATGGGCCATATTAGAAATAGCTCATATTTAATATCGGTGAAGGAGGGGGATCAGCAGAAGGTAGGTATTGCCTGCTGGTCAGGGCTTTCTTTTGTTCTCTTACTTACTTTTCAAGCAAACACACTCCAAAGTTTTAAATAAATGTCTTGATTTGCTTTTTCATCTGTAGTATAGTCTAGTTTCTCCCTCATTTTTCTGTATTCTGGAGAGAAGATTTGACCTAATGGCAAATGTTGGAAATTGCTATGCAGTGGTTTGTGGATGATTTTGAAACAATCTGGAGATCTGCTTCATGCCACTTCACAAATAATCACAGTGCTTTCCATGGCTGACCATCTAGGACAGGAAACAGAATTAATTTTGTTTCTGATCAAAATGAAATTCAACAACATTTTAAACAACACAGTGTCACAACACATTGTGACAACGATCACAAGTTGTACTTGAAAGAGTTTGTCTTAAAATGCCCATCCTTTTTAAACTGTCCTGCTTTTTCTTCATACAAATTTGTGTGTTCACAGCTCAGTGAGTGATTTTCTCTTAGAAGCATTTTTCATCTGTGGATATCTTGGGTGATCAGATCTGACCTATAAGCAAAAGTATATAATTTGTATTCTGGCACTGTTCCTGTGGAATGATTGGTGATGCTTGAGTAGAGATTAACATTGAATCGGTCATCTTCAAAACACAGTTATCTATTGTACATGACACATGATATCGTTTATATGTAAATTCCTCTTTTATTGGTGACATAATTTTTATGGGGCCTTTACACCAAGGCTGTTGATGGAAAATTTTGTGAAGAAAAACAGTCATTAAAGCCATTGATTAGAATAGCATGTCTAGCACTTGTAAGCTGGTAAGACTTGTTACCTTTTCCAAAGAGCATTCAGTGCGTCCATTTCAGTTCTTGCAATTGTTTAATGAAATCTGTTAGGGAATGATGCTTTGGGATTTACATACTGCAGTATTTCAGAGTCAACAAAGTACTTCTTTTGTGATCCTTTCACTTGGCAGGAAATGAATTTAAATTATGATGTGCTATTTTTCTTTTTTCCTTTTTTTTTAATTTTTCCAGAAACAACAACAAATCTTCAAGTCAGCAGTCCTCATCATCTTCCTCTTCTTCATCTCTGTCATCATGTTCTTCTTCATCTGCACTGGCACAAGAACTGTCTCAGCAAACAGCAGTAATACCAGAGTCTGATTCTAATAGCCAGGTTGACTGGACCTATGATCCAAATGAGCCACGATACTGTATTTGTAATCAGGTAAGGATGGCTTCCAACCTGAAATGCAACTAGAGCTGCTGTTTCACTGTAATTGAACTTCCTTCTCCAACTGCTAATTTAAAAATATCCTATTTGCATTTTTTTTGAAGCTTTGATCTGTTTTTATTTACTTACTGGTATTCTAAAAACAAGCAAGTTTTCCAGTGATGTGACATGCCTGGAGAGTTTGAAATCTTTTAATGAAGACTTCAGGAATACTTAAATTAAAAATCAAATAGGTTCACAGTGAATTCAGTTAAAATTCTAAGTTAGTATGGATTTGCCTTGTCTTTCCTACTTTCCTTTAATAAATAAACAAAGCAAACAGAACAAAAGCTAAAAAACTCTACCAAAAAAAAAAACCAACAAAACAAAACAACCCAACAACGAAACACATAAAGCCACCTGAAAACTTGAGAGCCTGAATGACAACCTGAGAAACTTGTATTTAAAAATACCTCTTCTTACTTCAAATACGTTTAAGAGTGTTGGCTTTTTTTAGAGTTTATAGAATTCTGTAATTCTCTTGAAAGTATTTGATTGTTTCAAATAAAGTACTTGAAATTGTCATGTATGCAAGGGCGAGGCCGAACATTAACATAATATTGAAAATCAGTCTGATAGTGTGCTGAGCACTGTTGTTTAGACCAAAATGTGCTTCATTCGGATTTTGAATGCTGACCTTTATAATCCAACCTGAAACATGCAGAAATACCTTCTTTTTTTTGCATAAAAGATTTTTAAAAATCAGTTTGCTGTGAACATGTGCTTTGGGTTGTGCATCAAAAGAAAAATTAAAATACTGTTGCTGCTGTTAATGGAAAAACTCCTCAAAGGAAGAAACTTGAACTTTAGCCCTTTGAAAACATTGATAGCTTTTAATTAGTAATATAATCATTATTAAGGTGGGTTTTTTTTCTTATTTACTAGGTGTCCTATGGTGAAATGGTAGGCTGTGATAACCAAGATGTAAGTAACAAAATTCAAAAAGATCATGACAGGCTTGTGCATGTAGCTGTTGCTTGCAGGAGTTACTTTTCTTTAGAGGTTTTTTTTAGGGTAGTGTGCATATGAGTTGAAGCATTCTTCAGGAAACCTCTTCATCTGTCTCCACAGTTCAAGTTCTTTTAGAAGGCTTCACCCTTTACTGGGAAGTTTGCCATCTTTAAAATGCCATTTATTTCTAGGAACCTTCAGCTATGTCACTACTAATATCAGTTGTCCCCTTCAAATAAAAAAGTTTTAAAAGAACAGTTGAATGTAATGATGTCGTTACTGAGATACTAATTTAAACCAAAGTGAGTGATAAGATTACTGTTGTGTCACATAATGTCAGATTAAGTATTTCAAAGCACAGCATACTACCTTTACTTAGTTATGTGAGTCTGTATATGACTCCTAGAATTTTTATTACTTTCCTTAGTCTATTCAGTGTATGTTAGGAAATGAGATCCTCCTCTCTTCTTGTTTTGTCCAGTGACTTTGTTTGAAAAACAGAATCCATGCTTTTTCACTCACACTTCATTTTCATAGAATTGTATTTGTGATAGGTGTTTCAAAAAATCCGAAACCCTCTCTTTAACTCTGTTTTTATAGTGCCCTATTGAGTGGTTCCACTATGGATGTGTTGGACTGACAGAAGCACCGAAAGGGAAATGGTACTGTCCACAGTGTACAGCTGCAATGAAGAGAAGAGGCAGTAGGCATAAATAAGTTTGTTCATCTGGAAAACACATTACATACTAAAGGTTTTATAGAGGACTTGGGAGGGGGAGGAACCCCCACCACACTTCCTTGCAACCACTTAAGGATTAACATAGCAGTCATAAGATCTTGAACTATTGATTTTGCTAGTTGTGTTTTAATATTGTAAGTAAATTATTTATGCACATTGATGTGCTACAGATAATATTCCAGTGAGCCTTGGATTGTTCCAGTGGCCAACGTATGCAGACATTTGTACTATCAAACCATTTTCTCTAAGCAGTGGGCATTCTACAATTATTCAATCTTCAAAAAATTCCAATAAGTCAAGATTTTAAATGTATGTTTTATATTCAACAGATATATTCTGCTGCATGTACTGTACTCAAGAGCTGTTATGTAACACTATGTATATAAATGGTGCAAAAAGTCAGTGCTTCTGGAAAAAAATGAGACAATGGTTTTTAAAATGCCTTTATAGCTTTGGTTCTTTATGAAACTTAATTCAGCAGGCTGAAGAAAATGGTTCTTGTATACAGCGGGCTGTTGTCCTCTAGGGTACTTGAGTATGTAAAAACAAAAATAATGCTGTAGAATAAAACAAACTTGTGCCATTAGTCTTTATATGTTTCTGCTACAGAGAAGACACAGGCCATAAGAGGAAAAAAGGTGTTAAAGTGATGATAAATTTTTATACCAAATGTGTTTATTTTTTTGTGCAAGTAATCCTTTAAATTTGAATTGTATTAGGTGTTAAAATAAAACAACCTCAACTCCTCAAATTAATGTTTTCTTCACATTTGTCAAAAAAAGGTTTGTCCCTGAAATGGTTTCAGAATATAGCTAATTTTGCATAAGAATTGGTTACACGTGACCCATGTGAAAGATTGTTGTACAGGAGGACATTTCTCCGATAGTGGAGAACTAATACATACATAGACAAATGCTGAACTATCATTTGCCTTGATGTCTCTGTCTCCAGGCAACAAGTGGCACCTGCTTAAATGGGCACAAAAGTCCTGTTTTCCATGTAGTTCTATAGTTATAAATAAAAATGTTATATTAATAAATAAATTATTAGTTATAGATAATTATATATGAAATACATTAAAATATATAAATATATAAAAATATGTAAATTATTAGTTATAAATAAAAACGCTTACCCTGTCAAGAGATATCCACAGGCAGGATTGCCTTCCTATTTCCTTGCCATGGATGGAAATAGGAAGGTGAGAGGAAAATCATGATACATGTGTCTTGCAGATGCCCTATTACTTACTGGCCAGTGGTTTTCATATAAAAAACAACACACAGTTTAGGAAAGAGGAAAGGAAGAAATAGTTCATCCTGCTGTAGAATCCCTAGGGGGACAGCAAGGATCATGTTAGGAAGACCAAATACAGGCCCATAAATAGTTGGATCTGTTAGTTGTACATGTTGTAGTACAGGATCAGAAGACTGACCTTTAGATTAGACCCTTGACCACAAATATAATGGAAAGATTTTCTATATTCTTCCTCTGCTTGCTGATTTTGGACATAGTTTGTAGATTCCCTTTCACTGGAAAATTCCTTTTGTTGTTTTTTGGCTTTTTCATGTAGCAGCACTGAACAGAACAAGATATTTACTCTTTTTCTTCTTCCTTCTGCTACTGAAAAAATACACATTTCCTTCGGAATAAAGATTTTACTGTAGCCCTGGCTTGCTCTTTGGACTGTCAGGCTGGAAGATTATGACCATGGTAGATTTCCAAAACCATGCAGAGGGGGAGGAGAGAGAGAGAAAAGCATTATTTCAATGCATAGCTACACAAATAGTATAAAGGAAATTAAAAGAGTTGGACTCATTAGTAATAGTATGTGTAGAAAATGCAGGTTTTGCCTAAATCAAAATGAAACCCGGCTTGTGCCACGGCATTTACTTGAAAAAAGTAAGCATTTTAAATCCATGAGCTGGGTAAAAGTAGATGTGTGAGAAGGAAAATGTGATTTTGGATGATAAATAGACTTTGGTAAAAGGATAGTATAGAAGTTGGTGAAAATAAACAGCAAAGAGCAGTGTAACTAAGGTTCTGTTAAAACTGGGAACTGAACCTACTGTGTATGTGTTTCTGTGGAAATCTCAGTCTGAAAAACCACTTGAGGACTAGAGTACCTGGTTTTAAGTGAAGCTATTGAGATAACAGAGATCACAGAAACTATTTGTTCTGTTGGAAACTGGTGCCATGGTATGAAGTTAAATAAGCAATATAAACAAGCAGGTAATCTAGACTCCCCTTGGACTGAATGTCTAAATCTTATGGGCTAAGAAGTCCATTAAGCATTAAGACCGTATATAGCAAAATCCCTCACTGGTGGTAACCATACGTAAGATGGTGCAGAGACTGCAAATCCAAATAAAAATTTCAATTTTTAGTGCGAGCATTGACTTCCTGTTTCATTGGACAATATAAATTATTTTGTCATGGAGGAGCTAGTTAGAGTACTCACAACAGGAAAAACCTTTGTCCTTGTTAGTATTTTGTGTCTAAGTTAATAGGAATGGACAAATGTGGAAAATGTGGAAAAAATGTAATACATAAGTCAAAGATGTAGAACAATAAAACCTGTACATGCTTTTGTTTTGTTCTAAACAGGAAGCCTGTGAGAAGATTAAGGGTCATCACAGTATTGTGGTGCAAAAACCACTGAAAATTTACAATACAAGCAAAATTACTTCTTCAGTGTGCAAGAGGTTAGACAAATTTGAATAGCAGGACCGTTTCTGCACGTTGCTTGAGGACTGCTCTCAAAGTAAGGCACCTATAGAAATGGGTCTTCAACAAATTGGTGGAACCAAACCTGCCCTAAGACAAACTCACAAATGGAGTATCTGAGTAATTATTATGCATTTTAAAATGTCTAAGGGAATGAAAAGCAATTAAAAAAATGCCAATTTTTAAAAAGCTTCAAATTGGATCTACAAGCTTAGTTTTTATTTCTTTGTACATCGATAGAAACTGATAAAGACTAGAATTAGTGTATGTGCAAGGAGTTACATATTGGCAGAGTCCTTGCCTTGTCATCATCAGAGTTATTGTAAAGCGTCACTGAGTAGACAAGCCCGGGTTGATGTTTCTTTAAAAACTAGTGATGTTCTGTTTGAAGAGTATAGGTCCCTTAATGTTACATGGGTATCTGCAAAATAGAATACAAAGAGTAGAGGAATAAATTACCAGTATTCCTAACAAGCAGAGGCTGCTCAGGGAGTCTGGCAGGACTCTGCTGCTCTACAGATACGTAAAAGGTCAATTAAAGAGGGGTAAACAGTAACGTAATATTTGTGTTTATGGTGGGTTCTCAAAAATAACAAAAAATGGAAAGTGTTAAAGATAGCAGAAAAATCTCATGATACTGAGTATCTGATAAAATGGAAGAAGTAATTCAACATTTGCTAAAATAATGTAAATATAAAGTTTCTATGATGGGGGTTGCAGTGCTGCTGGTTAAAGGAAGAGCGACTGACATCATCTAGCTGGACTCATGCAAAGCATTTGACACCATCTCACATGACATCCTTGTCTCTCAATTGGAGAGACATGGATTTGATGGATGGACCACTCAGTGGATAAGGAATTGGCTGGACGGTTGCACTCAGAGTTGCAGTCAATAGTTTGATGTCCAAGTGGAGACAGTGACAAGTGGGTCAGTACTGGGACCAGTGCTGTTTAACATCTTTGTTAGTGACATGGACAATGGGATTGAGTGCACCCTCAGCAAGTTTGCCAACAACACCAAGCTGTGTGGTGTGGCTGGCTCGCTGGAGGGAAGGGATGTGCCATCCAGAGGGACCTGGACAGGCTCGAGAGGTGGGCCTGTGCAAACCTCATGGAAGTTCAACAAGGCCAAGTGCAAGGTCCTGCTCATGGGTCAGGGCAATCCCAAGCACAAATACAGGCTGGGTGATGAGTGGATTGAGAAGAGCCCTGCAGAGAAGGACTTGGGAGTATTAGTGGATGCAAAACTGACTACGAGCCAGCGATGTGCACTTGCAGCCCAGAAAGCCAACTGTATCCTGGGCTGCATCAAGAGAAGTGTGGCCAGCAGGTTGAGGGAGGTGATTCTGCCCCTCCACTCCACTCTTCTGAGACCCCACCTTCAGTGCTGTGTTCAGCTCTGGGGCCCCCAACATAGAAGGACATGGAACTTCTTGAACAAGTCCAGAGAAGGGACAAGAAGATGATCAAGGGGCTGTAGCACCTCCCTTGTGGCTGTTCAGCCTGGAGAAGAGAAGGCACTGGGGAGACCCTGTAGCGGCCTTCCAGTACTTAAAGGGGACTGACAGGAAAAGTGTGGAGGGACTCTGTCAGGGAGTGTGGTGATATGATGAGGTGTAATGGCTATAAACTGAAAGAAGGTAGATTTAGATTAGAGGCAAGGAGGAAGTTCTTTACTGTGAGGGTGGTGAGACCTGGGAACAGGTTGCCCAGAGAAGCTGTGGCTGCCCCCTCCCTGGCAGTGTTCAAGGCCAGACTGGACGGGGCTTTGAGCAACCTGGCCTAGTGGAAGGTGTCCCTGCCCATGTCAGGGGTGGGGGTTAGAAACCATTCTGTATGATTCTATATATGATTTATAAAATAATACTTAATTCTCAATTCAGCTGCAGCTGGTGTCTCTGAAGTAGCTATTGCTGTGTAGGAATGTGATTTTGGAGTTATCTAGGTAATTCTATGGAAACATCAGCTCATTGCTCAGCAGCATGTCAGACGAGCTAAGAATGACTCAGTAGGACATAAAGAAAACAAAAGTTTTACACTATGTAAACTGATGTGCACTTGAGTCTTAATGTAGTATAACATTCTGGTCCACTACTGTGCAAAAATTTAGCAAAACTAGGAAATCCTCAAATAGGAGTATCAAAGTAGTCAGATCTGTGTAATGACAACACATCTGAGAAGGAGCTGAAATGTGTGGGACTCTTCTGGATGGGAAAGAGGCAGCTCAGTGAGGATATAACAGGGATGTACAAGTTCAGAAGTGCTGTGGAAAAGGTGTGTCTTTTGATAGAACAGGGAGGTAGCCAGTCCAAAATGAAAAAAAGAGCAGCATTTTTTCACATATGACATGCTTCAATTGTAAAACTGGCCATATAGCTTATATGGGTGTAGAATAGTGACTGAGACATTAATGGAAGCAAAGCCCATGGAGGCATAAAATGCAGAAGCAACACATTTGCATCAGAAACTCACTAAAGACTGATCTCTCAAAATTAAGAGTTTGTAACCAGGGAAGTGTTCCTGGATGCCTGTGACAGTTCTACAATCCTCTGGCATACACCAGTGAATACCATCTCAATGCTCCAGCATTTGGGTGAATTTTTAAGATGAGGATGTAGTTGTAGTACCGCAAAGTGCTAAGCACTGTAACACTACAAAAAGTTCTCTTTGCCTTGTAAACTATATTGTCAGTTTGCATTGTGAAGAAGCAACATTTTTTTTCTCAGCTGTAGCTTTTATTTATTCTAGGTGTGGAATGAAAAAGGAAGAGGAAATACTCTTATGCTTCCTGCTTTGAAAATCCTGCTAGGTTGTCTCTGAATAGCACAGAATAATTTGCATTCTTGTCTCCTTTACTGAACTTTGCAAAATGTTGTTCAATCACACACAATAAAGATTAGAAATTTTGAGGTTTGTTATTCCCTTTCTGTTCCCCCTCACCGGCGAGGTACTTTCCACTCTGAGCTGGCTTTTCTTGGCAAGCTTTTTAATCTCCCACCTCATCCTGCTGGAATGTCTGGACCA